GTGTTTGAAAAATCAAGTTTTATTTGCGATTTCTTAGAGACTTTTCGATTATTTTGCTATATATTCTTTTTACATTAGTAATAACATCGACTGACCTTGAGCAACTTTTCGAAATTTTTCCTGGCCAATTGGGATTTTTGGTTATGTTCTTCGGACCGCCCAAAATTAGTTGCATTTTTATTTTAAATATTCTGTAGATATTTTGTGATTTTTTGCAACTTTTAGGTATTTTTCTTGGTATTTCATGTTTCCTAAAGGTTTAATCGGATTTTTTGGTAATTTTTGCAATTCATTTTTTGGGTCTTCACATTTTGGGTTTTTGCGATCCTTTGGGATTTTTAGAAATTTTTTGCAAGTAATGTTTTAGGCATTCTCTGAATATTTTGGGAATGTTTTGAGATTTTTTGAGTTCTTTTCGAGATATTTCGGGATTTATTGGTAATTTGTGAAATATATGTTTAAAAATTTTGAAATGAATGTAATTTTTCGACTTTTCAGGTATTCTTGTCACGATTTCCTTGCGATTATTCAAGTTTTACTGGGGATATTTCGTGACTTCTTCTGGAGTTTTCGACTATTCTGCTATTTATTTTGTTTTAAAATTGGTAATAACATCGACTGGTTCGTGACCTTGTGCAACTCTTCCTGGCCAATCATGTACAACCCAAAATTTTTTGAGATTTTTTATAATTTTTTCGAAATACTTTGGGATTTTACGCAAGATTTGTGTGTTTTGCTTAACATTTCATGTTTTCTAAGGTATTTTTCGAGTTTGCAATTCATTTCTTATCCATTCACGTTTTGGGATTTTTCAAGAGTCGCGATTTTTCGAGATTTCGTAAGTTTTCTTTGGGATTTTTAGCAATTTTTGCTACTAACTTTTTTTTGGAATTTTGAGAGAATTCGTCAGTTTTTAAGAGGTTTTCGGGGTTTCTCGATTTTATTGGAACTTTAAACATTTTTAGGATCGATTTTAAAATTTTTTGGGGGATATTTTCCCACTGTAGAATTTTCGAAACGCTTTGAAATTTTTTGCGACTTTTCAAAACTGTTTCGGAGTCTTTCGAGTTTATTCGAGATTTCCTCGAAAATTTTCTAAACTATTCCTAAATTTTTCTTACTGATTTTTTAGGCGCTGATAATATCATAAAAATATTCGTAACTTTCAAGTGTTTTGCAATGTTTTTTTTTTAATATCATTCGGATCCTATGTCATACGAGCGACTGTGGCTTGAAACCTGAAGAAAACAATATGGCTCATGTGACATAAATCAGACTCTCTTGCCGTAAATAGCGTCTGGAAAAGTGTAGACCTCTGCTCTGCGAAATTGTCGTATTTTTAAGGGAAAAGATATGCATATATTACAGCATTTAATGGCTAACTGGAAGTAATTGCTTTAAGAATCAAATCCCATGGTATCACAGCAGGCTTATAAACTAGTAACTTGATCTGATTTATCCCTGCAAGGTGCTTAAAGTCAGAATTCTCTTGATTTTTTGTGCGCTTCGTGCTGCTCTAAAAATTGATGGACCTACCGGTTTTGAACATTTTTTTAGAATAGAATTCTACTAGAAGATTTGACAACGGAGAGCTTGAAATCTACATAAAGATGTATATATTTTGTTTATATAAATATTTTGTGTAACAAAATTGTCCATGGCTCTGCATACAAAAACTTAAATTCTACGCGCATTTTTGGTGCTAACTTTCTTTTCGCTCTGAACGATAACTTTTAATTTAGTATACTTTTTCATTAATATTACTGCATTTGCCATTGTCATCACACAAGAACTCAAGCTCACTAGCTTCATTTACTATTGCAAAGGGGGAAGATTGATATAAACTCCCTCAATGCTAACTATGTAATGAAAACTGAGCATTTGTGTACAAGCGCTTTGATAGTCGCCTTTTCATAATTGATTTTAATTGAACAACAATTAATTTGTAGTCCAACATACATTTGTATTTAATTGTATCGGAATGTCTCAGTTCAAGTCTTCTTAAATAGCTAAAGCTAAGTAATTGGTTGATAAAAGGTCATTGATAGTTTTTGATCTCAGATATCAAATATTTATTGGTTGCTGTGGTACTATTTTTTTGGGGGGTCAAGAAATGATTTCAGATAATTCGTCTTAAAAGAGTGATTTGTGCTATTCGTATATAGGTACCTCTTTCATACACTTAATTAAACTACTTGATACTCGGAACCCATGGGAAACAGACTGAAACATACACCATGAAAAGATGCGCGGATTTTAATATCAAGCGAAACTGCCGGAATCAGAACATCCGATCTTGACTGACAGGCAGGCAGCTGTCAAGGCTCACAGATCTCATCAGGTAACATCTAAACTGGTGATGGAGTACCATGATAAGCTGAATACTCTTGGTCTGACCAATCGAGTTAGGGTTCTCTGGCTTCCGGGACATATTGGTATTACAGGAAAGGAGATCGCCGATAAACTTGCGAAGAAACGGCTTTAAGGAATGTATTAGCTTATCCAAGAATTGTTACTGGAATCCTGACAGGACATTGCAAGCTGAACTATCACCTGGCTATGCAGATTTTGCAGGACGGATACCGAGACTGCACAACTCTCTGATGAAGTCACGAAAGGCGCTTTTTTGGATCGTCCAATGCTGATTGTAGTGCAAAGCATAGCAGAACTGATGTCACGAATATGGCTCATGAAAACCAATGGCGTAATACTGACACCTGCAAAAAAGCTAAGTATATCCTGAACAGGTCAGGCAGGGTGGTAGCCGGGTTCCCTCTCAGACAAATTAGAAGTAAGCTAGGACCCCTAAAAATACTGATTAGGGACACAACGCGTGGACACCACATATGGTCACCATATGCCTCATCGACGGCCCACAGTGTACATCGCTGATTGAAGGTTGAGGATAGTACAAAGCATTTTGTCTGCAGCTACGTGCCTTCGTGAGACAGAAGTGGCATTCGTGAGTGGTAAGTGGCCAACTACATCGCATTTTCCTCTTCAGAATACTATGATCCATAGAAGATTCTGGCAATTTTATAGCTGAGTAGTGATTTCTCACATCCGTCGTCCCTATGCTGTTAATCCTTTCTCTAGGCCTTAAGCATAAAAGAAAAGATTTTCTGGCCTACCTACCAAACCAAAATTCCGCATTCCACACTGATCCGCAAGCCTTAATTTAAGTTCTGTGCTAAGTTCCTTGATTACAGAGTTTAACTTCGAAATATTTGCCTAAGGTTCGATAAGCTTTTAACTTCTTAATCGTCACCAAAAGACGCAATTTTAATTTGCTTTCTTTGATGCTTTAGAGCGATATGCGGCAGCATAAACTAGTTTACTTGAAGGAAAGATAAACAATGAGTCAACTTAAGGCATTCAAGGCGTAAAACGATGGGAAACAGGCAATCTAAGAAGGTTAGAAATGACTTTTTGATAGTCGCAAAGAACTTTTAGCACTTTTTAGGAAGGATTTGAGAACTCTTGCATAAAACTTTGTAAGAACTTTCAAAACTTAGTAAGGAGGATATAAAAATTATAATTAGCATGTTTTCAAATAAATGCTAAAACTCAGAAATAATAATTCAAAAACTCTGCTTCGAAAGTATCTAAAGAACTTTTATAACATAGCCGAAAAGATCAAGGAACTACGAGCGCAACTAAAGCATTTCTGAACGATGCAGGAACTCAATAGGGGGAATAAGAAAATGTCTACTGACAGCTCTATAAATAAAACTCTGTAACATTAGCAGTGGTGTTAAGAACTATGACTGGCCTCGAATGAGCTCAGAAGGATTCGAAATTGCATCCTGAAAAGTCTTTAATCACTTCTGAATCAAAGCTAAGAAGAGCTAGTAACAATAACTGGAGTAATTCTAAGCAACTAAAAGAGCTCAGTCGGGAGAATAGCAAAACCTTCCCCGCAACATCTATAAACAATTTCTGGAACACCGTTAAGCGCTTCTTAGAACCATACCTCAAGAAAGTTCGAATAACCGTAGGAGGATAATTTAATAACTTCTACTAGAAAGGATTTAAACAGCTTCTTGAACTTGGTCAAAAGTCCTATAACTGGAGTTTTTTCGACAATTTCAGGAATTCTGTAGTTATAATTGTACAGCTTCTGCCAAAAAAATATCTAAATAACTGCTAGAACTTAGTCAAGAGCGTAAATGAACTATAACGCAAGTGCTTCCAAGTGGTTAAACAAAGTCAAGAGTGAGAACTTGAAATCTATTACAGCAGGATCTATGAACAACTTTCGTAGCTACATAAGTGGAGCTTTTTTTAAAGGCTATAGCATGAGTGCTTCCAAAAATTTCGAGAACATACATTAGTTGAGAATTCCAACTGAAGAAACTACAACAACGTTTGGAGCAAGGTCCGCAGGTTGGAATATCTTTAATTTGAGTATTTCTCAAACGACTTTTGAGATCGAGTAAATTTGAGAACTCTTATTGTATGTAGATTTTATGAAATATTTTTTTAAGAAATCAACTTTAAATGCGCGCCTATAGCCTTTATTTATTAAATGGCCTAAAAGGAAATTGACTTTTCCAAGTTTTCATTATTTCGCTAAATTAACAAAAATCGATAAAAGCTAAAAAATAAAACTAAACTAAAACCTGAAAAGTTCACCTAAAGACTAAATGTATAGGGGTCATCTAGAGGCGATCTGTGTAACTATAAGCTTAATACTTATAAAGTAAGAGCTTCTTAGACCAGAAATTTCTGGAAAGAAGTAAGCTTTACGCGTTAAGGAAACTCTAGTGGAAGTTTGAATTAAATAACGGTAATTTTGGTGATTTTTCGAAGAAACCCTTAAGGATAATAACTGCTAGAACGTCGGCTTGGGGATTGTTCCCCCGATTTGTCTTTCACTTTTTTGGTTTATTTTTTAAATTACTTCTATGTATATTTATAATTGTTGTAAATAAATTTGACAGCTGTCAAAGTGACATTTGCAAAACAACTTATAAACTTAAGTATGTAGTTAAACTTACTCCTGCCACTCGCATCGGTTGCATTGCCCATCTCCACAGCACCATTGTTGCCACCACTACCCCCACCTGCAGCGCCACCAGCTCCACTTCCGCCCTGTCCCAGCACTACGCTTGGCAGTAAATCGATTTGTTGCGCACGCGGCGTACGCATATCACGATAGTCGCTGACCAATTCATCGCGTTCGCCGCGCAAACACGAAGCCAAACCGCGCGACGAGGTGCGCCGATCGCCGCGCTCCTTCTCCAACGAACGACAATACAGGTGTGTGGTGCGCTGCAGTGATTGCGTTTTCGAAGTGCTGCCGCTATTGTTGCCTTGGCTGCCGCTACCGCTGCCACCGGCGACATCCGGTGTAGCGTGCAGCAACGGTGGCGGCGGCGGTGGCAACACCAGTTCGTTGTGCAAAATTTGCATTGTTGGTTGGTGTTTGTCTTCCGGTGGCGATATTGCAACGCAATTCATTTTGGTATTTTGTTTGGTTGTTGCTTGGTGAGTTGACTAAATTCCCTTTTTAGTTATTTTTATTTTTCAATTATTTTGCATTAGTTTCCTCTGTGTTTATTAATTAGCGCGCATGTTTTTTTATATTAGTAATTAATATTTTTTTTTTTTTGGTTTCATTTAGCGTAATCCTAGTTATATTTGTTTTTGGTTCCGTTAAACGTTTTTGCTTTTACGTGCTTTTAAAATAAATAAAATTTTTTAATACTTTTTTGTTTGTTACTCGTTTTGTGTCAGCGCCTTCGTGAAATGATTTCATTAGTAGTACCGTTATATTTTCCGATATCAGCATACCATAAATAGCACTCTTATGACTAATTTCACATTTGCGTTAATATTTTTTTGGTAACAATTTGCTGTAAAGTAGAAAAAAACTTTATTTAGTTACATGCCTAGTTTCAAAAAAGTTGGAATCTGTACCCGAAATTGACACGGTAGGATGACAATTGCAATTTTAGGAAGCTGTTACTTCTCAGGAATACAATGGCTTTTGTAGTGCGTTAACCTTGAAAACAACTACCCATGAAATAAAATATTCATCAAAGTTGTGATGAGACCATTTCTTTTGAAGAAGTCCCGTGCGAATACTTAAAAACTGTCGAGCTTGGAGGTTTAGATTTCTTAGTGGAAATCGCAGATAATGTCCAGCCGATTAATGTTCTCTCGTGATACCAAAATCTGATATCATCACCCCCAAAGTAATACGATACGATTTCCCACATTTAAGACTACGTTGTCCTTAGCAACATTAAAGACAAACTGAGAGGAACATGCATGTATGTATTTCGTTCAGTGAAACATCTAGGCAATTGGCGACAGAAGAAACTCACTTAGCCAATTCTTCTTTTAAAGATCATTTTAGTATGATCCCAAAAACGTTTTATGCTGAGGTAGGATTCGAAAACTCTTACAAGATATTATTTTAAGAGCTTTAGAACATTTCTCAAGAGTATTTAAGACCTATAACCAAATTATCCCCAAACGGCTTCAAGAACTCAGTAGGAAGAGTATCTGACAACTACAACTGGAATGATTCCAAACTTAGGAACTCTTAGGAACTCTTCGAAATCTTGCTGGTAAAGACTTATGCGACTTATGGAACTTAACCAAATGTATGTACTTATTATTCAACATTTCTCGCATTGATTCCTTCACAAACCGCTTCTTCGGCATCAAAATTGTACTTAACAATATATTAAATAAAAATTGGCTGTACCGATTGCCAGTAGCTTACTAGAAGAAAAGATGTATCCATTTTGGGACTATGTCGACGGCTGAGTTGAAGATCGGCCTATCACGGCAGCCAGTTCGAAAACGCCCTGTCTGGGAAACTTTTCAAGAACGCCGTGTTTCAAAATTTGGTTGAAGAACGACCTACCCTTCCTGAAAATATATGTATGTTGAAATTTTTTTTGAAGGGGCAGCTCAGATAGGGCGCTTTTTAACCGACTTCTGAGAAATGGCGTTTTGGAAAAGCTTTCTAAGATTCTGTGGGCGTTTTCGAACTGGCTACCGAGATGGGTCGGTATTCCACTCTGCCGTCGATATGTAAATTCAAAACTTTAACGCCGCTTTTATTGAGTTTTTTGATTTTTTTTGGGTTACGGTGCATTGCAGCAAGTGTGCGATATGTATGTTATATCGAATCGAAACACTATACCTTTGAGCTTTGGCTGCTGCGATTTATCAAGTGGCATGGCTGCTTTCAGAATTTAATAAGGAAAATCCAATCGAATACATTACACTAAGGATAAATACATCGCTCTCAATAACTAACAGCAGTTTGAACTTGAATACAGGTTTCAGGTGATAGATTTGTTTATATTAGGAAGATCTTTCCAAGGAATAGATAGTTGTCCATCGTGAGTTCCCTCCGCCAGCGCCGGGAAGAGACACATCGATTCGAAAAAAATAGCTTATAAGTACAGTGAAGGACCTCTTGCCGACGCTACCGTTTTTTTGAATTGGAATATGTATCGGAATCTTCTTACCTAGAAATCAAGTGTTAGACCAGGTTAGGTTAGGACAACGTGTATAGAAAGTCCTCATAATTTAACTGGGATGATTAGTAACCTCTGTCAATGCCAGGGTATTTTTTATTGTCAAACTTATACATATGCATGTACCCCGCCGAGTTCTCCTCCGCTATCCAACACAAGCAGGTAAAAAAGCGAGGCCTCAAATACAGCATTGATTTCGCCTCCTCTCTCTATCTTGATATAAGCGATAGTTGGAGCAAAAACCAAGAAAAATTATACGAGTATCCAATTTTTTAGTTACCAAAATTTTATGTATAGTTTTGAGATTTCCAAAAACAAAACATATGTTAATTTTTTAAATGTTCAAAATGTTTTGTCCTCGGCCATGTGTCTTTTTTGAAATTATGTCCAGCTCTAAAATTTTTTAAATATTATGATCAGTTTTGTAATTACCAAAAATTTTAAACTAACTAAAATTATACGAGTATCTAATTTTTTTAGTTACCAAAATTTTATGTCCAGTTTTGAAGCTTCCAAAACTATTATGTCAAGTTTTAAAATGTTCAAGAGATGTTTTGAGATTACCAAAATACTTATGGCCGATGTTTAAATACCAAAATATTTATGAGCAAATGGCCAAAAGTGCATGTCGTTTTTGCAAAATATTTAGTTTAGTTCTGAAATTACAAAAAATCCATTCCTGGTTTTCAACTAGCAAAAAAACATCTAGCTTTTAAATTAACACAAATTGATGTCTAGTTTTTAAACTACCACTACTTTTTACTATTTTTTAAGTTTGCAAAAACGGGTGTCCAAATTTTTATTTACAAAGCTGCCAGAAAATTATATCCAGTTTTAAAATTTCCCAAAAAGCATGTGCAGTTTTAAAGCATTCAGTTATAGCTTTTGAGTTAACAGAAAACTACTTATATCAAATTTTCAAATAACCAAAACCTCGTATCAAAAATTTATGTCCAGTTTGTAAATTTCCAAAAAAAAATTCTTGCACTTTTTGATCATCCGCGAACTCGTGGTCAATTTTTGACTGCTAAAAATTTTTGCTAATTTTTTAGTTTGCCAAAAATGTATGTTCAGTTTTTAAAAAGTCAAAAATTTATGTTCAGTTTTTGAATATACATGTCTCGTTTTTAAGCAAACAAAAAATACATACATACATGCAAGTTTTAAGTAGCCAAATATTTATATGAAGTTACTAGATTACCAAAAATTTATGTCCAACTCTCAATTTAAAAAAAATCAAATTTTGAGTTTCAAATAATGCGTTCCAATATTTAGATTTCTTAAAAAATGTTTTTTAAAAATTTTGAATTACCAAAATTTGATGTCCAGTTTTCAATTCAGTTACCAAAAATGTATCTCTCGGCGAAGTACCAAAGACTTATGTGCGGTGTTTTGATTGCCAAAAAATTATGTCCGACTTTTAAATTGCCAAACTCTATGTCCAATTTTTAGATTGATAAAAAAAACAAATATTTAAATCACCAAAAATTTATGTCCAGCTTTTAGATTATATCCGGAATTTAAATCGCCAAAAATGTAAGTCCACTTTTTGGATTACAAAAAATGTTTACCAATTACCACAAATTTATGTCCAGTTTTTACTTTATAAATATGTGAATTCAATTTACTTTTTGTCAAATAATTTTTGATGACTACTGTCGCATAATCCCAATAAATACATATACATATTCCACTTTTTATATTGTGGCTGCTTTTGCAGTTTATACCATTTTGGTTAGTTTTACCAAAACTTTTTCTGACTAAGCATAATTTCGACTTGCCTAAAAAAGAGTCTCAGCCCATAACCGGTCGGTGTAGAGCACTCGGAAATTACTAAATAATGAGGGAAGAACAACAAAAACATATGTTATAGCGGACAGGCTACTAAAGTCAGCACATAAATAATAACGCATGAAAAATATGTTGACAGAATTTGTATGTGGGTGCTTAAAAACATGACATAAGCACAAAAATAACCAAAAATTAGAGAATAATCTATTAAATATAATTTGTTGAGCGACTGAAGCATTTGCTGAAAATTTTGAGGAAATTAGGCAAGCAGCGAAAACTATTTTCAACGCGCGGCAGTGGCACAAAAATAAAATAAAAAGATTTTTTGTTGCTTTTTTCTCTTAAACTAAAATTCATACTTTTTTGAATATTTTTTTTTGTTTTTGTTATTTTTAATTCACTCGTAAGCCTTTACAAAGCAATTTTCTTCGTTAACCCTCAGTGATATTTTCTATACTATATAAAAGCCACTACATTTTCAAGTTCAATACCCCAGCGCTCATAAATATCAAAAAATGGCCTCCATGCGCGTCACGTACTTATTACATACATACATTCATGCATACAAACATACACACAGCCACACAATTTTCCATGCCACTTCACTCAAGTTCAGGGCGCATTTTCTTCTTTATCCAACCAAGTTGTGTTTTTGGCAAAAGTACGAAAATACTTTGGTTTGATATACACGTCGTCTCGGCGGCGGTACGAGTACATTTGTAGATACTTTTGCTGTTGCCACCTTTAGCACATTTAAGTAGCGTTGTGCAACAAGTAATGGCGACATGGCAAGCAAACGAGCGCATGAATTTTCCCGCAAGCAGGCAAGTGTGAATTTTTTCAGAAAAAAAAAATCACCACTACATAATTTCCAACATACATATAACGAAATTAAGTTTTTATTTTGATTCATTTTTCTACTTTGAGGCAATGCTAAAGCATGAAAATTGTTCACACATGACGCTGGCGCTCTGCCGCTAAAGTAGCCAGATATGAAGTCAATGACAAAATTAGCCGGTGTAGTTGGACGAACGTGGCGGAGGAGTTGGAAGCTGCAGCGAAGTAATCGAGTTGAAAGTGATTAAAGGGCGCAGTAAAATGTTTGGTTGCTATATTTTGTTGGAGTGGAAATGGTGAAAAATACTAGTTTTGGTTTTGATGGCATACATA